CCCTATGTGAGGGTGACAGAATCTTCCCCTACCTGACAGTGACAGAATTTTCCCCTACCTGAGGGTGACAGAATCTTCCCTTACCTGAGGGTGACAGAATCTTCCCTTCCTGAGGGTGACAGAATCTTACCTTCCTGAGAGTGACAGAATCTTCCCCTCCCTGAGAGTGACAGAATTTTCCCCTACCTGAGGGTGACAGAATCTTCTCCTACCTGAGAGTGACAGAATCTTCCCCTACGTGAGGGGGACAGAATCTTCCCTACCTGAGAGTGACATAATCTTCCCTACCTGAGGGTGACAGAATCTTCCCCACATAGGGGAAGATTCTGTCACCCTCAGGCAGGGAAGATTCTGTCACCCTCAGGTAGGGGAAGATTCTGTCACCCTCACATAGGGGAAAATTCTGTCACTCTCAGGTAGGGGAAGATTCTGTCACTCTCAGGTAGGGGAAGATTCTGCCACCTTCAGGTAGGGAAGTTTCTGTCACCCTCAGGAAGGGGAAGATTCTGTCTCTCTCAGGTAGGGAAGATTCTGTCACCCTCAGGTAGGGAAGATTCTGTCGCCCTCAGGTAGGGGAAGATTCTGTCACCTTCAGGTAGGGAAGATTCTGTCACCTTCAGGTAGGGAAGATTCTGTCACTCTCAGGTAGGGAAGATTCTGTCACCCTCAGGTAGGGGAAGATTCTGTCACCCTCACATAGGGGAAAATTCTGTCACTCTCAGGTTGGGGAAGATTCTGTCACTCTCAGGTAGGGGAAGATTCTGTCACCATCAGGTAGGGGAAGATTGTATCAGTCTCAGGTAGGGAAGATTCTGTCACCCTCAGGTAGGTAAGATTCAGGTAGGGAAGATTCTGTCACCCTCAGGGAGGGGAAGATTCTGTCACCCTCAGGTAGGGGAAGATTCTGTCACCCTCACATAGGGGAAAATTCTGTCACTCTCAGGTAGGGGAAGATTCTGTCACCCTCAGGTAGCGAAGATTCTGTCACCCTCAGGTAGGGAAGATTCTGTCACCCTCAGGGAGGGGGAGATTCTGTCACTCTCAGGTAGGGAAGATTCTGTCACCTTCAGGTAGGGGAAGATTCTGTCACCTTCAGGGAGGGGAAGATTCTGTCACCCTCAAGTAGGTGAAGATTCTGTCACCCTCAGGTAGGGGAAGATTCTGTCACCCTCAGGTAGGAAAGTTTCTGTCACTCTCAGGTAGGGGAAGATTCTGTCACCCTCAGGTAGGGGAAGATTCTGTCACCTTCAGGTAGGGGAAGATTCTGTCACCCTCAGGTAGGGGAAGATTCTGTCACCTTCAGGTAGGGGAAGATTCTGTCACTCTCAGGTAGTGGAAGATTCTGTCACCATCAGGTAGGGGAAGATTGTATCAGTCTCAGGTAGGGAAGATTCTGTCACCCTCAGGTAGGGAAGATTCTGTCACCTTCAGGTAGGGAAGATTCTGTCACCATCAGGTAGGGGAAGATTGGGTCACTCTCAGGTAGGGAAGAGTCTGTCACCATCAGGTTGGGAAGAATCTGTCACCCTCAGGTAGGGGCAGATTCTGTCACCTTCAGGTAGGGGAAGATTCTGTCACTCTCAGGTAGTAGGTAGGGAAGTTTCTGTCACTCTCAGGTAGGGGAAGATTCTATCACCATCAGGTAGGGGAAGATTCTGTCCCTCTCAGGTAGTGGAAGATTCTGTCACCATCAGGTAGGGGAAGATTGTGTCACTCTCAGGTAGGGAAGATTCTGTCACCATCAGGTTGGGAAGATTCTGTCACCCTCAGGTAGGGGAAGATTCTGTCACCCTCAGGTAGGGAAGATTCTGTCACTCTCAGGTAGGGAAGATTCTGTCCCTCTCAGGTAGGGAAGATTCTGTCAATCTCAGGTAGGGGAAGATTCTGTCACCCTCAGATAGGGAAGATTCTGTCCCCCTCAGGTAGGGGAAGATTCTGTCCCCCTCAGGGAGGGGAAGATTCTGTCCCCCTCAGGTAGGGAAGATTCTGTCACCCTCAGGTAGGGAAGATTCTGTCACTCTCAGGTAGGGGAAGATTCTGTCACCCTCAGGTAGGGAAGATTCTGTCACCCTCAGGTTGGGAAGATTCTGTCACCCTCAGGTTGGGGAAGATTCTGTTAGCCATATATTGTGTTCTCTTCATTTCAGTAGAGCACCATATTGGTAGTCTGTAATCCCAGGCTTGATTTCTAGAGGAGCCACTCGAAGAAAGTGACCTTGGTTAAACTAAAGAAATAACTATTAATTTCTATAGACTTGTTTGTGTTATTTCCACAATAATGTAAATGAAGTTGAGAAGGACAAACGACATATTTCAATTTCGCCCATAAGTTGGCTGCATTCCGATCATTATTATGATACCTAATGGTGATTACTTTTCTGAATTCCATCTAAAAATGGTGATTATAGCTCTGAGCGTTTCTGTTTTCTAATTAGTAAGATTGTTAGCCTGCAATTCCTTAGTTATCAAATTTCTAGGGGAACAGAAAAATGTGAACACAGCTGATTTACTGCCATAGTTACATTTTAAAGTTGTGTTGAAGGCGATCAGATGTCATGTTGTAGGGGATTACACAATGATGTACACGTCTGCTGTAATCGGGGATGGGGGGGTGGGGCTAAGATAGTGGAGACAAACTGGGAGGGAGAGGTAATGTGTAGTAATGTGTGGTTCATAATGGAGAAAAAGAGAAATCGAAAAAACAATGATGATAGGTCTGAGAAAAACATGGAGACTTTTCACCATATACATGTAGAGTATATAAATATGAAATATAGGATCTTACATGAGTTCCCATTTCATATGAGATTTATAAAAGGAGTCTATGAATTTTTAGGTCACCTGAGACAAAGTCTCAAGTGACCTATTGCGATCGCCTTTTGTCCGGCGTCCGGCGTCCGTCGTGCGTCCGTAAACAATTTACATTTTCGACTTCTTCTCCAAAATCCCTACACCAATTTCAATGAAATTTTGCAGAAACCTTTCATGGCCAAAGGTCAACTGAAATTGTGAATTATATGGTCCCCAGCCCCCAGGGGCCTGAGGGGCGGGGCCAAAAAGGGTCAAATTGACTAAAATTTCAAAAATCTTCCAAGATCCAGATATGGTAGAATCAAATACTCTTCATAGATAAAAGGATCTTAAGGTGCTTTACTAAAATTGTGATTTTTTTTACCCTGGGGTCTCACGTTTCCCCCTGGGGAGGGGTAAACTTTACTATAGTTTATATAGGGAAATCACATTTTGGACCAACATTTGTTTAATTGCCATTGGAAGTAATTCAATTTGGGTTAGCATTATCTGTATTGGATAGCAGGATGATGGTATGCACATATCAGCCCTGACTGACCCCCCGGGCTGGTGGGTGGGGCAAAAAAGGGTTGAATTGACTGAAATTTCAAAAATCTTCTTCTCAAGACCCAGATATGGTAGAATCAAATACTCTTCATAGATGGAAGGGTCTTAGGGTGCTTTACCAAATTTGTGAATTTCTCGATCTTGGGGTCTCACGTTTCCCCCTGGGGAGGGGGTAAACTTTACTATAGTTTATATAGGGAAATCACATTTTGGACCAACATTTGTTTAATTGCCATTGGAATTAATTCAATTTAGGTTAGCATTATCAGTATTAGGTAGCAGTTTGATGGTATGCACATATCAGCCCTAACTGACCTCCCGGGGCTGATGGGTGGGGCCAAAAAGGGTTGAATTGACTGAAATTTGTTGTGGTTTATAACGGCAAATGATACTTTGAATATTACATGTTGATAACTTGATTGGAATTATAACCCTACGTTGACAGTTTGATACTTTGTAAATTTTGAGCCATCCCTACCCCCAAGGGCTGTAGGGTGGGGCCCGATGGAGTCTGTGCATGTGCTAAAATAAAATTTCTTCATTTTCCTTGTTTAGAATCAGAGGTGCTAGTTTCAAATACTTTTCAGTCTTAAATCTGCATGCTAGATATTGAATAAGGTGGTTTTATTGTTTTATGTCACTTTGAATAATATTTCTGTTCATGTAAAAAACAAAAATCAACTCTCTGTATAAACATATCAGGTGACCGTTAATTAGGCCCATGGGCCTCTTGTTCTATTTAGCGAGTCTCTGGCGAGCTAAAATGAAAAAATTGTGATGAGTTTCATCAATTTTATTTGAAATGAAAATGAGTGTAAAAGATCTTTTTTATTACATAATCACAATTTGTGGCATTTATTCATGTTAAACGACAATTTTCATGCAACCTTGAAATGAAATTTAAAAGCCACCATTTTGATTCTAGTGCGTAAGTATGTGAAGTCATGTACTTGTCCTAGGCGCGATGTCACAGTTGAAACAATTGAAACTTTCAACCAATCACAGGGCTGATAGGTCATATTACATGGGTTACATAATACACAAAAAAATATGACATGGGTATATTCACTGGATAACACAGTGCATTATGTGATAAATTATATTTACTTTACAACAATTATGAAACAAGTTAATCAACCTATGTTAATTGGTCTGGTTGGCATGGATGGTTTGTACATGAGGTCTTGATGAGGGAGGAAACTGGAGTACCCAGAGAAAACCTGTTTGATTGGGCAAAAGACCCCCTCAAAATACCAAGTCATGTTCAATCAGGGAATCAAACCCGGTGAGCCTATATCTATATTGATGGGAGTACAGTGAAACTTTACCTACCACCTGTCTTTACTGATCAGCCCAGCATTCTCAACACCTGATTTACCAACACCTGGATTTACCTACATGTGGCCTTTTCCAACACCTGACTTTACCGACACAATTTTACTAACACACACAACAACTATTTCACTGACATCAAACTTTACCGACAGATATATAAACAATGTATGCATGTTCATGAACTTCTACAAGGATTAGTATTGCAGCAGTGAGTTTTTTCAAGGACCACCACTTCAGAATCAAAGTCGCAAATGGTTGCAAAAACCTTTTTTTTGTTATTGATGAAGTATATCTTTTGTCATTTCTAGGTTTGGATGCTGTAGGGAAGACAACACTGCTGTACCGACTAAAACTGGGAGAGTTCAACCTGGTAATCCCAACAATAGGTAGGTAATATAAGTCACAAGGTAGGTAATATAAGACACTAGGTAGGTAATATAAGTCACTAGGTAGGTAATATAAGTCACAAAGTAGGTAATATAGGTTACTAGGTAGGTAATATGAGTCACAAGGTAGGTAATATAAGTCACTTAAGGTAGGTGATATAAGTTACAAGGTAGGAAATATAAGGCAATAGGTAGGTGATAGAAGTCACAAAGTAGGTAATAAAAGTCACAAGGTCGTTGATATAAGTCACTAGGTAGGTAATATAACTCACAAGGTAGGTAATATAAGTCACTAGGTAGGTAATATAAGACACTAGGTAGGTAATATAAGTCACTAGGTAGGTAATATAAGTCACAAAGTAGGTAATATAGGTTACTAGGTAGGTAATATGAGTCACAAGGTAGGTAATATAAGTCACTTAAGGTAGTCACTTAAGGTAGGTGATATAAGTTACAAGGTAGGAAATATAAGGCAATAGGTAGGTGACAGAAGTCACAAAGTAGGTAATAAAAGTCACAAGGTCATTGATATAAGTCACTAGGTAGGTAATATAACTCACAAGGTAGGTAATATAAGTCCTAAGGTAGGTGATATAAGTCACTAGGTAGGTAATATAAGTCACAAAGTAGGTAATATAGGTTACTAGGTAGGTAATATGAGTCACAAGGTAGGTAATATAAGTCACTTAAGGTAGGTGATATAAGCTACAAGGTAGGAAATATAAGGCAATAGGTAGGTGATATAAGTCACAAAGTAGGTAATATAAGTCACAAGGTCATTGATATAAGTCACTAGGTAGGTAATATAAGTCACAAGGTAGGTAATATAAGTCACAAGGTAGGTGATATAAGTCACTAGGTAGGTAATATAGGTCACAATGTAGCTTATATAAGTCACAAGGTAGGTGATATAAGTCACTAGGTAGGTGTTATAAGTCACTAGGTAGGGAATATAAGTCACTAGGTAGGTGATATAAGTCACAAGGTAGGTGATATAAGTCACCAGGTAGCTAGGTGATATATGTCACTAGGTAGGTAATATAAGTGACAAGGTAGGGAATATAAGTCACTAGGTAGGTAATATAAGTCACAAGATAGGTGAGATAACTCACTAGGTAGGTAATATAAGTGACTTAGGTAGGTAATATAAGTCACAAGGCAGGTGATATAAGTCATCAGGTAGCTAGGTGATATATGTCACTAGGTAGGTAATATAAGTGACAAGGTAGGGAATATAAGTCACTAGGTAGGTGATATAAGTCACTAGGTAGGTAGTATAAGTCACTAGGTAGGTAATATAAGCCACAAGGTAGGTGATATAAGTCACTAGGTAGGTGATATAAGTCACTAGATAGGGTATATAAGTCACTAGGTAGGAAATATAAGTCACTAGGTAGGTAATATAAGTCACTAGGTAGGTAATATAAGTCACAAAGTAGTTAATATAAGTCACTAGGTAGGTAATATAAGTCACAAGGTAGGTGATATAAGTCACTAGGTAGTTAATATAAGTCACTAGGTAGGGAATATAAGTCACTTGGTAGGTAATATAAGTGACAAGGTAGGTGATATAAGTCACTAGGTAGCTAGGTGATATAAGTCACTAAGTAGGTAATATAAGTGACAAGGTAGGGGATATAAGTCACTAGGTAGGTGATATAAGTCAATAGGTAGGTAATATAAGTCACAGGTTAGGTGATATATAAGTCACTAGGTAGGTAATTTAAGTGACAAGGTAGGGAATATAAGTCACTAGGTAGGTAATATAAGTCACTAGGTAGGTGATATAAGTCACTAGGTAGGGAATATAAGTCACTTGGTAGGTAATATAAGTGACAAGGTAGGTGATATAAGTCACTATGTAGCTAGGTGATATAAGTCACTAAGTAGGTAATATAAGTGACAAGTTTGGGGATATAAGTCACTAGGTAGGTGATATAAGTCAATAGGTAGGTAATATATGTCACAGGTTAGGTGATATAAGTCACTGGGTAGGTAATATAAGTCACTAGGTAGGTAATATAAGTCACTAGGTAGGTGATATAAGTCACTGGGTAGGTAATATAAGATCATATACATAGGACATCCAGTATTTTAAGCTAGCAAAATTGGTGCATTCATTATAAACACCATCTTCAAATAAAGAAATATTTTAATAAAAACCAGATGTTTTGTTTTATCATAGGCCCAGGGTAACAGATAGTTATGAAAATATCTGCATTTTAATCAAATGCTTTGAGTACTGTTATCAACTTCTGTTTCTGCAGGAAATCTAAAAAAAATCTATAAACGTCAACAATATACCAACAATTTAGCTCTAGAATCAGTGTACACTAGCTGTTTCTAAGAGCAATACTTTTTCCTAGCTCCAGGATTACAATACAGTAGTATTGTATGGTATCAGAATGATTGTTTCTTGTAAGCAGCATTATTATACTTCATTTTCGAAAAGTTGTAATTGATGATGACTATTGTAATGATCTCAATATGATGATTTAATGAAAACATGATGAAGACGATGACATATTGATGAAGAGGTGGATGATGTAATCAGATGTCATGATGATAGCCCGTGTTGGAATGTCGGAATACGAGAGAATGTCATTTTTCTGTACAAATAAAACACTCTTGCGAAAGAGAAAAAAATTGTGAATTCCTCGGAGAACTTTAAAAGTGGAAGATTAAATAATAAGTCCTTGTAATTCTCATGAAAATATCAGAATTCTAACCAAACAGCTCAGAAAGGTTGAAAGTCACATCACAGACATTTAAAGTCGGATTCTTTCCTAAGTGCCAAGTGGTATGTCAGCATTCCTGGGTATATATCTTGATTTCTCCATGTATGTTTAAGTGTACATTTATTTATTGTAATATTGTAAACAGCAGCTTTCACTTCGTGGATGTCTGGTTCCATACCAAGCGATTACGCTAACAGGAATGGCACATGTTTGTCTATCCTGTGTGTCTGAGAAAGTGCTGTGTATATACAAGACAGATGGTATCGTGTGTACATATCATAGATGTTTTCTGCTACAGAGGTATAGAAGTGTTCACAAAAATCAGATAATTATGTGAACATTAAATTCAAACATTTTGTGTCAAAAAGGAAAAAAAGAATCTGACTCACAGAATTACCAGTTTCATGCTTTTCTTTGTTGAAATGTATTCGCTTATATACTAAAATCACTTATATTCCAGTGAAAGACATATATACATAATGGTATTGATTTGTGAGAAAAAGAATGAATTTAGATTCCATCAATAGTAGACAAACGAATGTATACACCTGGTGTTGTACCTGGTGATTGTTGTAAGAAGAACAATCGGGCGGATAAAAACAATTAAGCGATTTATAATATTTTGTTTTTCTTCATTGTATAACTTAAGGATGGATACAACCTTATCATGATATTTACCTTCTTTTCTAAAGAGTTTCATATTTACATTAGTTGCACAAGACAGTATATATATACATAAGTTAAAACGCTGATGGGATGCTGATTAATATGATACAGCGGTAATGTTAAATGAATTTTTTTAAGGGAGATAAGTCAGACAGAATTACAGGTAAACTGTGTAAGGTAGATAATCTATCAAAGATGTATACATAATTGTCATTCATTAACATGTACATGTATACAGGAGAAGAAATGTTGATCCTTGTAATTGAGTTTATTTTTGGTTGCAGGGTTCAATGTGGAGAGTATTCAATACAAAGATATTAATTTCACTGCCTGGGATATAGGCAGTCGTGACAAGATGGTGAGTTATTCCCCTTTGTTTCATATTATGCTCCTGGCAAGGAACTTGATTCTCTCTTATTTCATTCTCTCGTTCCCTTTTGTTTAATGATTCTGGCAGTGAGTTGTCTCCCATCTTGTTGACATTATTGTTGTTATCTGGCATTTAAAAAATTTCATCTAACCTATACAATTTAATGTTCACATGAGACTAAATTGCTCCAATCTGGCAGTGTAGAAATTATTCATTCTCAAATAAAATTCGGTAGTTACTATAATATGTGTAATGTCAAAATCATTTGTTACTAAAATTAGGTACAAATGTATTTAGTTTTTCCATGGTAACTTGATTTCCTTTGTTGTTTGGTCAGTAAAAAAAAAACAACATGTCTCCGATTAGCTGAAACATTACACTTTCAACACCTTACATAGTCATGAGATGAAGGAAGAACAGGCCCGATGCGCCTCTTGTTAAATACATGTTCAATAATAATATCCTTTCTAAAGGTCACTGACCAGGCTCTTCAAAGATAATCCTAGTTCTGTATGCAGAAAGAGCAGGACCCATGTGCCTTTTTTATACCCCTTTTTAATACTCCTTTGAAAGGGTCGATGCTAGTTCTGTATGAAGAATATCTGTGATATATCTTACATTTAATTTACAGAGGCCACTGTTCCGTCACTACTACAAGGGGACAGAGGCCGTCGTCATAGTTATCGACAGTCATGACAAGGAACGACTGGACGAGCTAAACCATGACGTCATCAAACCAGCCTTACAGGCGGAGGAACTCTCCAGCGCATGTTTTCTCTTCCTCGCCAACAAGTGTGACATGGAGCCGCACATGTCATCCGAGGAAATACATGATCGTCTGGGACTACGACAGCTCAAACACACATGGAGTAGGTTCAACCAATGATCTATGGTTTAGTTACACAGCATTGAAGATATTTATCTTATTTCAAAATAGTTTTGTTTTTTCCCAATTTATTCCCTTGTAAAATAATGCAGCATTTTAACTGATTTTATTTAAAAGTAAATTGTAATGCATTGACTTCTCCAAATAATGAATGGTTGAAAAGCATGTTTTATTTTTGACCAATCTAATTATAATTAGATTGATTTTTGGCAGATATTTTAGTTTGTATTATATATTTTAATTTTTAGACTCATTTCATCAATCTTATATGAAATGAAATGCATATCCTATGCTGAGTGTTGCATACTGAACTTATAAAGAGTTATGGTCCTTATTTATTTATTTTCCTAAAATTTGTCCAGTGATAGAGGACTGTGAACTGCTTGCCATACAGATGTATGTCCCTTTGTTTATATTTTATCCTTAAGATTGTTCCAGTCCAGGAAATGAGGGGGGGGGGGGGCTATTGATTGCTTGCAACACTTTGCCCTTATAATCATTATTTTTTATATAGTTATTTGAGCAAAAGATAATTGTATTTCGAGATCATGTTTAAGTAAATTAATATTATTATTCAGATCTTTTCCACGTAAGTGCCTTACGAGGAGACGGATTGACCGAGGCTTTAGATTGGCTAGCCTTTCAGCTCGGATCAGAGGAAATTCGGAAAAGTGTCACTCCAGAGAGTGAGGATAAAATGGACAAGGCATTGAGTGGTCTCCCTTACTGTAGTCGGGCCTATACAGCTATCAAATGTCTGTTCTTTAGGCCAACCCGCCAGGACAGACAGGACGAGGGACGATAAAGCTGTATCATACACAAATTATATAAACAATCAACCAAAACTGAAACAGATCTCATCTGTGTTATGTGGTAACGTTCTCATAGAGTAACCTAGAATGATTGTGATAGTTCGACGTCCAGGAGTGAGTTATGATGCTCATGTCATAATCACGACAACGTACATGACGTCATAGACTTGGAAATAGTGACGTCACAAATGCGCATATGGAAAATAAGTATATTTTGCACTAACTTTGCTTTAAGGAGTTAACACTGCTAACCAAATGTATGAATGCTTGAATGTTGCTGAGGGGGGGCTCATGTTTGTTGTGTTTAATGAGAGTGATCCTCGTCATATTTACATGTGTATCACAAAGAAAACAAGCGTACCGCGGGGCAGAACAATATACGCCCCTCAAATGCCATATAGTGTTATATACTTTCTTACATTGAAATAAGATCTCCCTGCATCATTCTAAGAGTGGTTAGCTGACATGCTATAAAAAATGTAGGAGAAAATCTCCGGACAAAAAATCAAATACTGAAATGAACAAAGGGCAATAACTTTTGCAAAAATTGTCGAATCAAAATTCTTTTAAGGGATACACAACTTAATATCATGATTATAATGTATATCAAGTTTCAAAGAGATCGGTCAAAAAATGTTGGAGGAGATTGCTGGAAAAACAGAAGTTTACGTCGGACGGCCGGACAACGCCATACCATAATACTTCCGTCAAATTTGACGGGCGTATAAAAAAAATGGATTGGTTTTTTTTTAATTTTCCAAAATCAGTTGTTGTACTTAAATGATTTTAAAAAAAACATTACGTGCAAACTAATTTTTATCAGTCAAGATAAACTGAAAGTCCAAGGTCAGGTTTTTGCTCAGACACTGCAATTAAATTAATTTTGTAATGTAAAAGGGATTGGAATCTGGATTAGTAGACATATGACAGCTCTGTTGGTGAGGAGTTAGAAAGGAGATATCTCCCTATACACGCGAGCCATACCTAAAGTGATGAGTGACAGTAAATGTGGATCTTTAATAATCTATTTTTAATGGCTAACTATATTTAAACAAGTGAGCTATATAATCATCAAGAGGGATTTCATGTATGTCTCCGGGGAGAAGCCGTCTCCGGATATATCCATACGGATACTCTCGATATGTTGTTGTAAGCGATACATGATGTCCTCGAAGGTGTTAGTCTCGTTCAACCAGACGCTTAAGCTTGATCATGATCACTAGTAATTCAAGAGTCTGGTCTAACACAGTACTTTAAAATTACCACCACCAGAGGGCAGTGTATTTACCTTCGTTTCCGGACGTTATGTCAACGCCATGAAACGTTTCAATGAAAAATGAAATAAATGAAAAAAACTTACCTATACCACGGACTTAGATAATCTAATTCCGTGCCTATACGTGCATTCCTGAAGTACCCGTGTATTCACTATTATCGAGAACAAAGTAAAAAATGTGTAAAATCTCCAGAATATTGCCATATATTTCCACTGAATAAATCATAACTGAGCACAAAGCCAACAAAGCTGACTGAAGTTGGCAAAAGCATGCAAAGCAAGTGAGATTTTACCTGTACACTATTCAAAACACCTTCAAGTTCTCACTCAGGTAATCTGGCTTGACTTGTATTATTGTAAAATATCCAAGGAAAATACATGAAATCGTTCTTTTTGAAGAATTTTTAACATTTTTCTTGTTAATAGTGAAAACATGGATACTTCCGGAATGCATGTACAGGTAATTTGTTCATGAATTAAAATATTCAATGTTATTTTGCGCCACTCAAATTCTAACTTTTGAAGTTGAAAAGGGTGTTTCAACCTTTGACCAATGAAATCATTTACCAGAATTCTGGCAAGCCTCGTTATGATGTCACAAAACGTAGCTTGCGCAGGCAACAATAGTCTGGTTGAACGAGACTACGAAGGTGTTAGGTGAAGTGTAATTCATTGTGTTGTAGAATTATTTTCTAAAATAAAGAGGTTTTGTCAAAAAACTGTCCTACTTTTTATTGAACCACTCTCGATCGATTTACGAGACCATGTGTTCCGGACCGAAGGGTAAGCATATTCATGCTGATTCATTGGTTACATCACGGAATTAGATTAGATTATCAAGTCTGTGGTTACATCCGCCATGTAAATGAAGATCAAATCCAAGTAATATTACGTGTTACGTCATTAAAGCCAGATCCAGTGAAAATGAACATGAAAAACATGGACCTCCATTTCACAGAGGGAAATATTTCTCAATGAAACCACGCGTACGTACGGAATTAGATTAGAGGGAAAGGCAACTGCCTCTCCTCGGCATAGGAAATCCCTGCTATCTGTTCTGTTGATAGAATTTCCCTCCATTCTTGGAGCACCCTGGGAACTTCTGTGGGATTAGTCCGCAGGTGAATTTTCACTATAAGGTATTCGAGCACGTTAAAAGCTATTTAAATTTTATTTACGCTACAGGACCGTCAGCTGGGTGTACTACCTATGGCACTCTATACAGCAAGACACTCGGGTTACATATATACAGTTCATGCAGTCTGTTGTGAGTAAATTAAAGGCAGCAAGCGTGCAGGGTTGTATACATTCGGCGATTATACAAGCGATAGCAGTTATAAGTTTATAAGCGTATCCATATAATAGGCCATGGTTCGTTGTCATCACGATAAAATCATATAATTAAAGAGTTAATTGTACCTTTACTATATACAGTACATCTATAACATACGTCATGGAAATATTACTATACCACTCAATTCTTTCAGGACACAATTCCATGACATGTACAGGGTAGATGATACTTTTCTACGTTGAGAGTCCCCCTTTCTTATTAGTTGGTAGCTGCGATATTATTTCGGATCTGCGCCGATGGAGCGCGAAACAGAGTCTCCTGGTGATAAACTCAACGACGTGGATCGTTCCCTTTTTTTGCGTCCAGCACATTCGAGAAATTCAAAATAACACTCACATCTAAAACGGTGTCATGGTCCAGATGCTGCTGAATGTCATCCAGGTGACCTTGTCGCGTGGGAGTCAGAGTTTAACACTCCATAATGAAATGTTCTCGGGTTTCTGGTGCGCGTTTGTATAGTAGGCAGGTTGGATCTATGGAGTTTTGGTTGAATACATTTCTGTTTAGGGGATAGTACGTTGTTTTGAGTGGCTATACTGGCGATTAGAACATGAAATTTGGGTTTGAACTCGAGACCGATAGGTCGAGAGTTTAAACCAAATTTCATGTTTTAATCGCCAGTATAGACACGAAAAACAACGTACTATCCCCATTCTAACACACCTTAACAAATATACCACGCTAATATGTTTAGAAACATTGTATTTCCTTGTTTAAAAGTACACAGTAAAATACTTTGTGACCTGAACTGGCGACGTGTCATTCTCCTGCGGACTGACCAATCGGAAAGAAGCCGGTCATTTGGCTCCGCCCATACTGGCGAGCGCTCGATTTGGATTGTTCGTGAACGTCCTGTTACCAAAGTTAATACGACACATTTAGATTAATATTGACCAAGTACTTAAATTTCCATGTCAGTATGCATACCAATCTGTGCTTATCGACAAAATCGGTGATTATTTGTATAGATTTGTGAAGAGTTTTGTGTAAATGCATGCGACACAGGTGAAATGTTCGATTTGATTTCGGATCTAAGTAGATGCCTTCACACGGATGGAACGAAAGTTTCAGTAATAAATGGAGGTAAGAAAAAGGAATGTGTACTTTTTACTTTTTAATTCATTCAACAAATTATACATTTCATCGGTCGTTTCTGTTCTGTTGCCAACTAGTCTTATCAGCGGGATTTCGCTAAGAGGCGAGCTTGACGCCATATTGTTTTGGTTAGAAACGGGGGTGGCTTAACTGCGATGGGAGGAGCTTGTCACGATTGATCATGATTCTATCGCAGATTAGAACATGGTCCGTATCCAATCAAAACACGCGTTGCAAACGAATCGTGTTAGAATGCTCTGTAGTAGGTATGTGACGGTTAGGAGGCGTAGTTTTACTTGAGTCCTCTCGATATCACCGCGATCTGTAGATACTGTAGCGAGAACAGGATGCATTCGTCCAGCCTTGAAGTTTGAGGTGTTTAGATATTTCAGAGAGGAGTAATATCCAGTCTGGGCACTTATCCAGGATTCCCAGTACTTCTCGACGTGTGTTTTGACTTCCCGTTTCCAGAAGGAGTATTTGATTTCAGAATCCATGACGTCCATGGCACTAGGCAAATCATACACCGCGAGAAGCTTAGAGACTTCATGTGAACCAGCTGTTTTGGATTCCCCGGCCAATGAGGAGTTGTCTCCTAGCGATTTCATTCTCGGCTGACGCGGTCCGAGCTATGGAACCGAAGAGATTTAAGATGTTGGTATGAATCCTGGCTTTCACGGGCAGTGAACCGGTCAGCACATAGAGCGCGATATCCGACACATTATCTGGGAGAGAGAATACTTGCTTCAATGTCTTTTTGTACTGAATTTCCAGCGGTTCTAGGGTCCGATCTGAGGGTGCCAAAATTTCCAAACCATACGTCAGAACTAGGGTCACATATGTATTAAGAATGTAAAGACTTGTTGACTGGTTCAAGCCGGTTTTTCCATAAAGTCAAGTGCCCATAAGGGAGTATGTAGCACCTTTCGCCTTTCTGATGTTATTTAGAATCGTTGTAGGGGCCGATTTGTTTGGGTTCTGGTGGTGAATCACTCCCAAGTGAGTGGCTTGTTCCACAATCGGAATCTCAGCGGTGCCGAGTGTCCACGGAAAAGTCTGCGTGGCGTCAATAGGATTTTTACATGTCGACAATATCCAGCAGTGTTTATAGCCTTCCATATGTATGGTCGATAAGCGTGACATCGTCAGCGCATGTTGGGGCTGCGCAGCACACATTCCCTTTTTTCGCTCCAGTGTTGGATTTGGTGATCCTTTCCAGTAGATTGTTGATGTATACTTTGTAGAGATCCGTACTTAAAATCCATCCTTGGCGAACTCCCTGTCGAACGTTAGTAGCTCCGATGTATCTCCCTTCCAACTAATGGTCGTCTTTGCGGAGACATTGAGGTCGTGAAAGATCTCCCAGGTTCTTCCTCGAACTCCTAGCATGAACAGTTTCCGATCCAGAACATCGTGGTTAACGGTATCGAATGCAGCCTTCGCGTCCAAAAGAGCCACATAGGTGTTCGGCGAGGATTTGTTGATATTGATAACTTCGCGTAAGATCAAACCGCTGCGCAGTGGCGGTATTCATTTAGTGAATCCTCGCTGGAGTGGGCTCTGGTGATCTTCGAACACAGTCTGGACACTGGCTCGTATAACCGTTTCTAATGTTTTGAGGATAACCGATAACACTGTTATGCCTCTGTAGTTCTTGGAGTCTTTCTTTTCACCTTTCTTCTTGAAGATCGGAACAAGTTGCCCCAGTTTCAAGCAGTCAGGAACTTTCCCATGATCCAGAAATAGATTGAAGAGAGTAGTAAGCACATCGGAAATCTTAACACCGCCAAACTTGAGATGCTCCGCGGTTAGGTGGAAGATGTCCACCGCTTTGTTGGTGTTCAGTTTGCCCATGGCCTCCTCTACATTTCGTGGAACAATCATATCTGCAGCCGTCAGACACTGCTCTTGTGATAAAGCCTTGATGGTGTCAATGTCCAATTCAGTTTGAACCACTTCTCTTTCCAGGATAGGGTTAGATGGTGGCGATGGGGTAATTAGGCCTGTAAAGTGTTCCTTCCAGCCATGTAGAATATCTGCCGGGTTGGAGTAGAGCTTGTCTCCCACCTTAAGCTCGGAAATCGTGCTCGTTGGTGTGGTTTTCAACCTGTTGATAAGCCGGTAAAAGGTCTTCTTATCGCCTCTGTTTGCTTCCATAACATCCTTTATGAATTCATGAGCTATCTCGATTCTTCTATGCCTGAGGAGTTCTTTCTTAGCGACTCGCCTTTGTTCTGCAATAGGGCCGTTTGTCGGTTTTTCGTTGTCCTTCCACTGTTTCAGGGCCGTTTTATTAGCCTTGGTAACTGTCGCAATCTCAGGATTCCAGACATGTCTCTTCCCTCTCTTTACCTTACTAATTAATGGTGTAACTCTGTCCGAAGCATCTTTAATGATGTCGATCACTTGCTTTGTGATGATATCCATGGAGGGATTTCCCCAGTCGATCTCCTCAAGATTCTCTGCGAATATACGTTCGTACTTGAACTTATCCACTTTCTCCCAGTTTATCTTCTTGTAGACTGATTTTGGTTATGACTTGGCTGGGCGTGTTGTTAGTTTGTAGTCAAAATCGGTCTTGATAAGATGATGATCTGAAGTGTTGTTGGAAAGGTTGTCGATCCTCGTGATAGATGGGAGGTCCATTTCCATCAGATAGGTTTGGTGAACCATGATGTAGTCTATCGTCGAGGTATCCTTCCCATGTTCAAAAGTGACATCCGTGCAGTCCGTTTGGAAGCCACATTCTGTCATGAAGTGTCCCAATTTGCCGCCGCGCGGAGACTTAATGATATCACAGTTCATGTCACCTGCGATGATTATGTCATGCGACGAGACGTACTTACGGGTTATCTCCTCCAGAATAAGTAGGCAGTCCTCATACTCGGACTCCGACGATTTTGAATTCCTACATGACATGTACGCGCACACAATTATCAGAGGCCGTTGATCACCGTTAACTTCGATGCAGACAATACGCTCGTTGCCCTCCTCTATTTTTGAAACAAGATGATCAATGTCTCTACACCAAAGTCTGGCAACGCCACCATAGCCACTCGGTCTTTGAGTCGGAGGTAGAGGATTGTTTTGATCAACTGATTTTCCTGACCAACAAAAGTTTAAATCTCCAAGCTTGTGTAGCTCATGATGAAACAACCAGTGCTCTTGTAGACACATTATTTCGGCCTGTTTCCCCAAGTCCTCTATACAATCCACAGCGTTGTTAAGGTTTTTGCAGGTGTACGATATGATGTTCAATCTGCCCCGGGTCATTAAATTGGGGGTCGTTCCATGAGGTACAAGCCTAAAAAAGACTGAGGTGAGGAGTTCCCACGATTCCTGTTCGAGTTATCCGGTATGGTGTCGGTGTTATTGGGCGGTGTACTTAGACGAGTTTGATACTGTCTATTCTGTTGATCATCGATCTTTGTTTCGTCCTCAACGATGCTAGTAGGGTGTTCGGAATCGACAACGGGCTTTTGAACTGTAGTGGCTTCCGGCCACTGTTTGATTGTAGCCGATTCTAACATGTTTTCCTGGCTTCTCACATCCTTCATGATTTCGTTGGCAATATCTGTAACTACGTCCTGAAAGTCTGGTTTAGTATACGCGTTCTTTTTATGAAAAGTCTTATCTCTCTCAGTAGTAGATGGCTTCTAGCTAGATTTGACAAACGGATTCCCCTGATAGTATGTCGAAGGGGGAGGAACATTTCGGAAGAGGTTGAATGGGTGAGGAATGAACGGAGGTAGCGGTGGTTGAGATTTGTATAATTGATCTAATTTCCCGATCCTCGCGTGAAGGTGATCTAGTTCTGTCTCGTGTAGTTGTCTGGTGACTGTTCTTTTTTCCTCTATGGAGGTAATTTGGTCCTGTATACTTTGAAGTCTCAGGTTATTTACTGCATCCTCTAGTTGTTTTAGTCGACTGGCGTTTGCCCCGTCACATGAACAGGATGAACTAGTAGGATCCTTGACATAAGATTTTGGACGATTTTGATCAGTTGAGTTATCGCTGGGTATATGAGTAGCAATTTTCATTCTTAATAACCGATTTGTGTCTTCGATACTGTTGATTTTTTCCTCCAGTTGAATTACGTGTGCCTGAAGCCTCGACGAGTTTATTTATTTCGTCACTGAGTAGCAACCTTTCCTTTTTGAGGTTGTCTTCCCATTTTCTTAGTTTCAGTTCTTGTTGCCTTAAGAGTCGCAAGTCCTTACTTTGACTTTGTGATGTAGAGTCCAAGCTGGATATGGGGGTCTCCTGGATGTCAGAGTTTGTAGGATTGGATGGAGTTTTGCGATATTTTGCTGTTTTAGCCTTTGATGGTTCAGATGTAGAGACCGATGGACCAGCAGACATAGACGGATTCAGAGCGAGACTTAGATCAACGCTAGTATCATTATCACACGGAGTTAGTTGGGGGCCGTTATTCCCGGTACACGGTTTCCAGTAAAAGTGGCAGGACCTGACTGTACAGTAGATTGTGTCGCACTCTTAAAGTGGAGCAACAGTTGTGTTAACTTTTGTTGAGGGTTTCTTACCACAAGGACCGGCATTCTGTTCAACGCGTTTTTTGGGAAACCACACTTTTTGTTTTGGGGGCGAGTAGTAAGACATCTATCGAAGGAGAGTTTTTGTCGCCTACAGTAACACATTAATTTCCAGAAACGTTCGTGACCCCTGCCATTACAGGTGTTGCGGGACGGGGAAGAGTTTTGGAGAGCTCGCCTTGCTCGACGACGCCGCTGTCAAGATCGCACGTTTTGGTGTGTCAGTAATGCCCCTTTCGGGCTCGCGATCACTATTCAGGTCTGAATGGCTTACGACTCCAGGTTTTGTAGAGTTGTGTTGACCTGAATGGTGTAGGGGCTGTTGTTGTTGTTTTTTGTTGGAAGAGTCTTTATTTGAAAGTTTATTTAGGCCCTCCATACACTTTTCAGCGATCATGATATTTATGTTTCTAAAAGAGTTGTTCGAAATGACATCAATAATGTTGCGAAAGTGAATGACAAACAGGTTGAGATCACCGCCGTTTACTAGTGTTGAGGAGCTAGTATGGTAGAGATGTATGGTGTATGCTTTTCTGGACGAGTCATACGAGTCCGAGACCGATACCTGCCAAAGTTCCCTAACACATAATCCCTCATCATCACACGAGTCCTCTTTATGCAATGAGAGTTCAGCCTTTCCAGTGAGCGTTTTCTCCATCTGCACTCTGAAAAAACACGTAGGCAGCTGTCGAAAAATTTATCACGATACCTCCACCTGTTGTTGTGACCAAGCAGTCGTTTTCCTTTTTACTTGATTTGATTTTTTTCTTCATTACAGTTCGCGTGAAAGCAGCATCATATTACTAGGTCCGACCTTATTTAATAAACGAACAACTGTGGTCCGACCGGTTTGACCGTTTAAATGAAAACGGACCAATAGTCTTCGTCAAACCTGCATCTCTAGGAGTCGACTTCCATTTTTGTCATTAACATTATAAGGATAGAATAGAGCGACTCCCATCCAGATGTTTTGGGTATTTGAGGTACTAACGGTATTTGTTTACCTTTGCAATCATGATGGGCGTGATGCATGTATGTAACCCAAGAGGGAAAAACTAACTTCAAAAAGTTGATTGTGATCCAAGGGAAGCAACTCGAGCTAAGGATATGTTACTAATTCTGAGATTACTACCAGATTTCTCCCAAAATACCGTCAATAGTGTTTACATTGCGGTACTCATCATCACAATCTATTGCAAATAATAATATCCATTCTTCAATATTAAAGGAACGAAGTATTTGTATTCAAGTGTTTGTCAACTTCCAAGGTACTGGACAGGAGCGAACCTGAATTTTTGTAACCCACTCTATTTCCATAGTTTTTCCATAAAGTGTTCACCACGACATATTGGTCAGAAATACGTAGACGGTGTGGAAAACGTAACAGTACAGATACACAACAGACGTACAATCGTGTAACAGGTGAAAAGACAGAAACACAACCGGCATATACACTTGTAACACAGACGTACAAACATGTAACAGACGTACAGACACACAACAGACGTACAGATACACAACATAAACGTACAGATACACAACAGGCGTACAGATACACTACAGACGTACAGACATACACAACAGACGTACAGATACACAACAGACGTACAATCATGTAACAGACGTACAGACAGATACACCACGGACGTACACACACGCAACATACGTACAAACATGAAACAGACGTACAGATACACAACAGACGTACAGACATACACACAACTGATATACAATCATGTTACAGAGGAACAGACAGATACACAACCGATGTACAAACACGTAACAGACATACAGCCAGAACACAACACACGTACAATAATGTTACAGACGAACAGACTGATATATTTATGACGTACACACACGGACAGATGCACAGCAGACGAACAAACAGATGTACAACAGACGTACAGGCACGCAACAGACGTACTGAGAGATGCTTATCAGACATATACACAACAGACGTACATACAAACATGTTACAGACAGTCAGATAACAGAACTACAGACAGATACGTAACAAATCTAGACATAAAATATGGCCTTAGAGATTGATAAGAAAATCATACAGATATATTGTTGGATATATCATACGCAGGAGTAAATCTGCATTCTCCTCTTCATTTTAGTTAATATTTCCACAGAGCACTGATATTTTAACATTTTACAGAAGTAAGGCGCGATTTTTTTTTTTCTCTCTTCTCAACTCATTTTCTTTGATATTGTATGGTGATTAAAACTTAACAGAAAAAAGACACTGGACTGCGATATATTTTGTACCTGCACCTGTAATACTCTTCTACGAAGGTTTTGGATATTACGTTACCTGCTACAAGTGTGAAAAGACATATAAATATTGCTGAAACGTTAAGCGTTACTTTTAAAACAGTAAAGGATTATGAATTCGTCAGATTATATCAGAATAGACAGCCTTTTAAAACTGGTGTTTGCTTATCACGTTTAGAAAATCACTGAAGAACAGTGCAGTATTCAGAACGCTTTGGAACATGTGGATGATGATGACGGGACTTTATTCGTGAAATCGTTAACACGAACATTCCGAAAAAGGAAAGAAATGACTTTATTGCACGGCTATGTAATGTCGAATGGAGAGTCAATGAATTAAAAACAGAAAAATGGAAAGACGAAGTCAGTCATATGATCATGTCCATGACTCGTTTAGAGAGTAACTTTAAAAACAAAACATTGTCATAATTCAAAAGATATTTTTATTTGTAATAAAAGATTACATACATAAATGTTTGTCTCATTATCGTTATGTTGACCAAAGAGGAGAAGGACCGCATAGACGCGGTGTATTACGACTTTAAGAACGGTGGTGCATTTCTCAGTCCCACGAAAGTACATCAGATATTG